TGGCCAACTGCTTCACCCTGCGGTGTCCCAGGCGCCTCCCCGCCTAGGCTTTGGCTATAGGCCGGGGTCGGCGGATTTTTGGTAGTTGCATGGAGATTGATCACCAAAACATCGAGAAATACATCGCTTGTAACTCTGCAGCGCGCAGACACTCGACACTCGCAAACATTAACCCGCAAGAAACCTTTAATTGCGTAGGTTTTTTGGGCGCAGCCACTCATCACCAAACAGTTTTAAACACAACTCATGTTTATATTCGTGTTGAGCTTTGGTGCACCAAAAATTCATAAGACATTTTTGTTTTGTAATTGTTGGGCGATGGGTTTCTGCGCATCAAAACAACCGCTGGTTCCTATCGCTTTTTGGTGATGAGTCGATTCTTCTACGCCCCGCGCAACCACAACAAACAACTACTTCTCATAGAGTCATTGATGTTCCTTTTTGCGCACCGCGCGCCCCCAAAAACACAGAAAAGGACGTTATACGGGTGTGTGTTTTCCAGTGTTCTCGAAAACGCTTGTTTCAGGACTTTGCATGTTGAAGGTGTTCAGACGTTGAGGACGAGACCTTGTAGTTGTTGGTAGGTGCTCGTTGTCTGCTCGTGAGTAGTAGTCTTCCTAGTTCACCAGATCTTGGGGGGGTCGGCCAAAAACACCGTTTAGATTTTTGGTGGTACCATTCTTTTTTTGGCCGACCACCCCCTGGTACTACCTGTGCCGCATCAAGCTCCGACAGGTCACAGGATGAATGGCGTGAAGCTCCCACAGCTCACGGGGTGAGTGGCGTTTACCATCACCATTGCCATTGGCATTGCCACAGGTTAAGTTAAGGGTGAATGGCCATTACCAGCATTATGGCCCAGTAGTATTACCACTTCTATTGGCATCAGCGTTAGCATCACTTACCAATGGCATGCCCAGTACTATTAGCATTATCATTAGCATCAAACCCGCGCAGGTCAAAGGGTGAATGGCGTGACCATCACAGTTGTCATTAGCATTGCCATTACCATTGGCGTAACCATTACTACAGGTCACAGAGTGTGTGGCCTCAACCTCCCACAGGTCACACAGTGATCGGCATCAAGGTGCCGCAGCTCACTGGGTGAATGTCGTTATCATCACCATTGCCATTTGCGTTGCCATCGCCATTTGCATTGACATTGCTGCAGGAACTGGCATTGCCATTGTGATCCGCATTGCCACAGGTCAAGGGTGAACGGCGTCAAACTTCCACTCTCACAGGTCACAGGGTGCATAGCTCCCACAGGTCAAAGGGTGAATGGCGTTGTCATGAGCAAAACCAGTGCCATTAGCACTGCCACACGTCACAGGGTGAATGACCATTACCCTTACCCGTACCCTTACCATTACCATCAACATTACCATTGCTATTGGCATCAGCGTTAGCGTTGCCATTAACGCGCCACAAGCATTAGCATCAGCATCAAGCTCCCACAAGTCACAGGGAAAATGGCATTCTGGTGAATGGCATCAAAAAGACAACAAAGCATTGGAAAACACACACCCGCATAGCGTCCCGCTTTTAAAAAACACATATAAACCCGTGTTTCTTAGTACGTGTTTGCGCATTGGTTTCTGTGCGTTATAAACAAACAAGTAAGGAAAATCATGCTGAACAATATACTGTATGCTGTCCAATGCTTGTGTTGCGCACACACACACACCAACAATAAATTTTCTATTTGTTAGAGTCAATTGAATTATTTTCTTTCTTTTTGGGCTCACTGCTGTCAAATGCGTGCTCGCCCAAGCAACGTGGTGAAGTGAAGTGAATCCAACGGCTATGAGGGGTTATTTGCCAGTGTGTTCACTCCCCGGTTAAGCCCTCATGAACTCTCATGTCTGAAAGCTTTGCCCTCAACATGGGATTCTCATTCAAGACATTCTCTTATTTTTCCCGCATCTTCAAAAACTCACAACACCTGGGTTTACTGGGAACCGAACCTGATTTTCAGCTTTTGTTGCTGTAATTATTGAACCGTGATTCAATGCATTCTGCAAGCAGTCTTGTCTCACAAACAGACACAAGAGCATGGAAGCTAGGGTTTATAACATTAAAGAAGTGTAGTATAGTTTATCATGTTCTAAGTGGCTGACTCTGTGTATGTAAAGTGAGATGTGACGCTGTTTGAAGCCTTTGTAAAGCATCTGTAAACAGCAGCAGTTCATAATCTCAGGCTGAGTTTTGAATGGACAGCCATGGATGGCACCATTTCGGTTGGACAACGGTTGGAGCCAGCATGCCAGGGACATGAACAAAGGCATCCATATCTGTTTGCCTCCACTCTTGGATATTAAGAAGCGCAGCGAAGCATAAAGACGTAAAGTGCCTTGATTCCTACCCACATACAAATACACCAAGTAGCACCAATGCAGCACTATGGCTGAGGATTGAAGAATGTCAGATTTCATGACGGCTGTCGAGTTGTCACTCGCATTGAGGTCGACTCGGCTGTATTGGGTACCGGTCCTGAGTCGCAAGAGAGGACCCTGGACGAGTGAGCAGCGAGCTGCACAGACCAAATCACCATACTGTATACTGGTATTAGTGGCGCAACATGTCAGCGTTTTGGACACGAAAAGTGATCCAAACTCTGAAGCAGTTCAACAGCTGAAGCAGTTCAACAGCTACCGCACCAAGGCCCTTCTTTCCAACTCTGTTGTCTTCAAGCAGGACCGTCGCCTTCCAGCTTTTTGTTGGTTGAACAAGGACCTGGACCCTTTCACTCGCAAGAGATAGACCTACAGGGATCACATCAAGCAGATGCTCGGTGGTGTCTAGCACAGCTGCTCAGGACACAAAAGCCTGCAATTGGTACTCTGATCGGTTCAGACCTCAGGTGACTCTTTGGATCTCTCGTGCTTCAACAAACGGCCCATGGTGAAGCTATGTGAATAGACTTGCTTCACAGCGACGAGCCTACACATGTTGATACGTGTTGATATGAGTGAGCGAATCAACATGAATCAACCAACTCATGGAAAAAAGACTTGCTGAGGTGTCCGCACCTGCTGATCCGACTGAGGCTACGACACCTGGTTCACGTGGTGCGCGTGCGCCGGGACCTGTCCGATCTCCCGCGCCAGGCGAAACGGTGGAGCCAACGTGCAGTGGATTTTCCCAGCAGTGGAGCTGATGAGCAACAGTGACCCTGTGAAGTCCGTCTTTTTGTGAGAACTATCGGAAAAGTCATGGAACCTTCCCGCTTCTTCCCTACATTTAAATAGATATATATATAAATATTGTTTTTCAACCGCATGCTATATATGTATACACATAATATATTATATATATTTATATATCTCCCTCTCTCTCTCTATATATATATTCCTTTAGATTCAAACGAGTCAACAAAAACGCTTGGCAGTGGTCAGGTGCGCCATATGCTGTTGCGCCCCAGCCTTGCGCGGAGCGTGGCGCGGCGCGGGGCGCAGTTGGCACGCTTGTGGCTGAGCCATGAGGCGGGGCCGATGGTGTCGGTGAATTCAGATAAATTCAGCGATTTGCCGAAGGAAGGAGCAAGGACGCTACTAGGGGCTCCTGGCCGTACTACTAGGAGCAAGGATGCTACTAGGAGCAAAGGGCATCGCTACTAGGAGCAAGAAGCTACTAGAAAACATCTTGGGCAACTCCGAAAAAGCACTGCGGGAGGAGAACTAGTCTGAAGCTTCAGGAAACTACAAACTTCCAACGCCAGAGGCACAACTGGCAGACTACTTGCTTCAAACAGGGAAATTAAGTGTACTCCGAAATGTTTTCATCTTCCAGGTCTTCTCTAATTATGTCACTAGACCATACTACGCCACTATTTTGTTGCGCTGCATACCCCTTTGTTCGGGGGAGATTTGCTTGGAAGTTGGTCTATGTCCCACATATCTTGTCTGTCAGTGAGTCAGTGAACATTGATTTTCAGAGATGACCTCTGCAAATGAAGATAACGAAGAAGACAGATGTTCCGTGCATGACAGTCTGTGACTGTTAAAAAGGGGTTTTCAATTTCATCCCAGGTATCCCTGGAACAAAAAGATTGTAACACAATCAAAGGGATGGTGAACTGGTTATCCCTGAGCATCCAATCTTCATCCCTCACACTGATCAGGATGCCATGCACTACCTGGCACGGGTCTTGGCTGCGGTGGCCGATGCCCAACGCGGGCCCAGTGCGAGATCAAAAGCGAGCCTCGCTTCTTTGCGGAACTGTTCGTGGAACACATGCCACCTTTGTGTAACTTGCACTTTGCTTGGGACAATTGACTCTTCTCCCTAAGGTTGGAAGGCTCTTGTTGTAAGTTTCAGGTAAGTATTGTACCTTCTATTGCTTCCTTTGGAACCTTTGGAAGACTTGGCAACTGACTGCCATTGACTGCAACTCAGTTGGCAGAAGCACCATAAATGGTCGGCAGTGCCGTATTGAAATGCTGTTGTAGTTTTACAGACAAAGATTGAATTGATAGCAATGAAATGCTATGAAGCTGTTTATGGCCCAAGCGGAGGGTCAGCTGTGCTGAACTTGAATGCAAACCTCACTTGAGTCAGGTGCTGAAGGGGATCAGTGCGTTTAGGGGTGACTCCACTGAATTGCTGCGAGTTCCGGGAATGTAAGGCATCCAGATATGCACATTATTTGGTTTCAAGTGAGGTGTACGATCGTTTTGTACATGCTGCCGTCCATCACAAGGTCGACCATTTTGCTGGTGTCCAAGACGCATGACACATCAAGTTGTGGTTTTACATTGGAGTGTATTTCATACGCAGGCCATGGCCCAATCAACATGTTGAAGGTGGTTAAGAGCTCTGAGTTTCTCCCTGAACGAGAATCTTCGGATTCTGTCAGATGCAGATTCTGTTTTTCTCCCAAAACAGCGACCGACCGCCGACCGCGCAACCGATGGATGTGGATCTCGAACGCTCCGACTCACTGCGCTCAGAGTCGTTGGGCAGCCGATTGAAGCAACGATGTGTCGAGGTGGAGAGTTTTCTCGACGTTCATCACTCTGACTATGATACACTATTATATTACTATTACCTTTTTTATTTTTGTTTTAAACTTTTTATATACTCTTGTTTTAAACGAAAGACGGCCGCTCGACGGATGAAGTAGAGGGAAGTATGGAATGATCAGAGTAACTACGCAGTAGTGATTCATGATCAAATCCGTGAACAGCAAAGATGCAATCTCAAAGATGACAGTCCAGGTGGAGTTTTGGTTTGACATGGTTTGGCATCAATCTGGTGGGGAGAAGAGCTGTCGTCTCAAATTCATTCAACAACTGTCCACTGACCGCGGCCATGATCAATGGATTGAAGCACAACCGCCACATCTACATTGGAAAGATTCTACATGCACTCCATGTGTCAACTTCTCGATTGCAAGAACAGGGGGCAGTGGGAGAGATATTGTTTATATAGATAGATAGAAACACAAACAAATAGGGCAGATACATTCTGTGTCTTTTCCTCTGATTGAAACCTCCAATTGATATTTCTGGACTTTGCGCCGTCAAACTTCCAGACCACGGTCGTTGGAGCTGCAGACCTCTCCTCTCAGCGAATCCGCCCCGATCTCCATGCCAGGAGATCTACTTTGTTTGGAGCGAATCCGAAGAGCTCATGCTGGAGTTTGCGCAGTCCGTGCCATATTTTGCCCACTTGCCACGTGAAGAGGCGCTCCGCCACCGAGCCTTGCGATGGAATCCCTTGTGGTGGTTGAGTATCTTGGGCTGCGCCGCATGCATTCTACTTGGTCACGGTTTCCACACAGCCTGCTGCCAGGGCGGGCAAGTGAGATCGGATGAGCGACTCAGCTTGCGATCGGGAAGGCTCATGAGGAAACTGAACCTGGGAAGGAAAATATTACGTTTGGGATTCTGGCAATTCTTGTGTTTATCCAGCAAACGCTTCGCTTCCCTCCACCTTCCTCACCACCTTCCTGCTTTGGATGCGGAGTGCTTTTCAGTCATCTGACCCAAACAGCTTTGCTGTTGGAGCGCTGAGGCTGGAGGTCGAACGGCGGGCCAGAATCTGGTGGGTCTATTGCTACTCCGGGGGCTTTGTGGGCACCGTCCTGACCGACCTCATTGCTTTGGTGTCTGCTGTGGTCACAGAGACCGATCCTGAGGACCGGTGTTTGCCTCGCTACTAGTAACAAGTGCAACGCTACTAGTAACAAGTGCCTCGCTAGTAGTAACAAGTGCCTTACTAGTAGTAAGAAGAAGCTATTAGCTTATTGGTTCTACTAGCTTCTTGTTACTACTAGTGATGGCTTCCAGACGAGTGATGACCCAAGTAGCATCCGTTTGCTGAAAGGTGGGCTTTTCCGGTAGATGCACCAACTGTGCAGGAGAGGAACAGGACGGTACGGTCTTGTGAAGTGGCTATTTTGATTCAGATCTGGTACATGGTGGGCGATTGGAATTTGCTTTACCGGATGAGTCGCAACTTGGAAGGAGATCATACGTCGTTTGCCGCGTGAAAGGTGAGTTCCCATCATCTCCACATATGGTATGTTGCTGAGGATTTTATCATTTGTTACAATTGTTTAAATCTATCCTTGAAAAGCAATCCTCAACCATTCATGCAAAGACACTGTGTTTCAACGAGGCAAAGACACCGTCTTGATGCATGCCGCTGCCATCAGCCGCGTGACCTTTGGCGCGGCCTTCCTGGTTGCGTCACCCGTCAGGGAGCGGGAATGGCCGCCATGAGTTCTAGTTTGTAACTACTTGTATAATCTTGTACATTGTATATACATATACAGGCTGGGGAAAACTGACTAAGGCAGGTGTTGAAGGTGCAGTGGAAACTCTTGGGCTGCGTCGAAGGGAAACCGTACCCGTCAGGGGCAGCATCCATTCCCACCCAGCTGTCCGAAGCCCTGAGTTTTCATAAGTCTTCATGAATGAATGGCCTCCAACCTACTAGTGATGGCCTCCAACCTACTAGTGATGGCCTATGAGTCTTCATGAATCCATTTGCTCCCGCTCTGCCCAGGTTTGTGATTGGACTCCTCACCCCTGCGGGCGAAGCCATCTTGGAACACTGGTTTTGGGGCCGCGCACCGCCGCCACCCCCCGGAACACCAAAGCCACCACCGCCTCCGCAGGAGACTGCCGGTTGGCTCAACCCGGAGAGACTCACGCCCCAGAGAGTTGTTGTGGTAGCATTTCTTCATAATTGTTGATGAAGGTATTGTATAAAGCTGGATCCTAGCCTTTTCAACAACTGTTTTTGGCTGCACCAAACCGAAAATCAGGAACAGACATGTTGACCTTGTGTTCAAAGCTCTCATGGTTGTAGAATGTTGTAGATGTCTTGGTTTGAGGCAAGATTGATTGGAACATTCTGGCATGCAACCAAGGCCATTACATGGATCATCCGCTTGGTCTTCTGTGCCTTCATGGTGATTGCATATTTGGGCTATACGCCCTTACTGCGCTTGGACTATCAGTCCCCGGATCTCGAGGTCCAAGACGCACAAAACAGAGGCATCTGGAAATTAAAGGTGGGGATGTGGGAGAGACATGGAGAGATGCTTTTCGTGGATTGGGACTGTTTGGAGTCAAAGGACAAACAGAAGGAACAGACATGAATAGACTACGTATGACTGTATGACTAATGACGATGTGAAAGACTGACTTAGTGAAAGCAATCAATAAGCTCCCATGCGTTCCTTTACACACAATCTGGCATGCATGCAATACATGAGGCAGGAAGGAATGCAGGAAGAAATCCCTGTTGCAGTCAAGAGCATGGATTTCTTCATGCATCATGGTACCGGTAAGAGCTCCAAAGAACGCTACTAGGGGCTCCTGGCCGTACTACTAGGAGCAAGGACGCTACTTGTGATAGGACGGAATTCTTCGGGTCCGCCTTGGAAGGTCGCCCTTGTGGCAGGGGTCTTGGTGCTGGCAGCCGAAGGCTTCATGTTTTCCAGGCCAGACAGAAGACGAAGGATTTGATGTCTTTTTCTGAAGAACCTGGTTTGCACTTGGTCTCGTTCTTTCAGATCTTTCCAACCATCCAGGGGCCCTGGCTTGTGGATGCTTGCAGCCCAGCCCTTCTTTGTGCTGGGGACGGCATACCTCATGGAGGTGGGTGGTTGTGGTCAGAAGATTATCCAACAACCGCCATTAGTGCGCATGAGAGACTCTGGGCCAATGGGTTTGGTTCATTGGGTGTGCGTTGATAATTTAGGTGATGCTGGTAATGCAAGGCTAGAACATTTGGACTTCCAGCATCACTTAATCTATTGTCAATGAGGGTGGTGACTGCATCAAAATGATGGAATGGCTTTCGTCTCCCCTTCCCTTTAACCTGTTGGTTTTCAATCAGGCTTCACCATTGTTATTTTTTACAATCCTCTTTCTCATCGACTACCTTGGACCCCCTCATTTGTTCTGTGTGCACAATTTGTTATTTTGTGTGGTGGTAGAATTTGTTCTGTCAGTCTCACTGTCAGGGCCGGCAGCTGAGTTGCCGACGATCACTCGCTGCGCTGGGCGCAGTTTTTCCCTTCGTTGTGGTGGGTAGTGGCTTTGCAGCCTGTGGCCCTGCGCTTTGGTCGATCCTGGCAGGGAGTTGAAGTCGTTCGCGAGCCGTCGTGAAGTAAAGCGGACTTCAAGGACCTGTCACCGCTGCGTTGAAACAATTGTTGCCAACTTATGCCAGCTTTCACCGAACTTGCCTACCTTGAAAGACACCCTTCAAGGAATACAATCAGTCTAGCTCTCCAGAATCAGGGCAGTCGTTTGTGCTTGAGATTTATTATGCTCATGCTCGATGCTTGCCGCTTGTGTGCCGCATCAGCTTCTTCGGCCCAGCCACTCTGTCCGCAGGACTTCCCTGTGTGACATTCTCCAATTTCCAGTCCAGATCATCCGACGAATCAATCCACAAGCCCAAAAAACCACCACATGAAACAGCGCAGTGGTGCGTTTGGCAGAATCATAGCACCCAGCCCCTTGCAGCCAATGCCCAATCTGTGAAACACTTCAAAACAAGCATATAAACAATATCAAACAACTCTGTTTCCCACCGGGAACATTTTTCTGAGCTTTATTTCAAGAGCAGAGTTTTTCCACCATGCAGCCCACCATGCAGCGAACCAAACACGAATCGACGACGGTGAAGATCACTGGCCGGCCACAGCGATGCGATGTGTACGGCCGGTGCTTCTGTGCTGCCGGAGCGAGGAAGCTCAGACATCGCTCCGCGAGGCAGCACAGACGCGGACGATGCACGAGAGGCCTAATGAGGGCCTTTGATCTTCCTACTCCGAGAGGTCACTATACCCCTTGAAGAGTCGAAAAAAGAATTAGGAACAAAGGGAAGGTAAGGCCCCTTTAAAATTTAATTGTTCTTTTGCTATGACCGCAATACCTTAAAGCACTGCTTGGGTTGTTGCCTTGTTGCCTTTCCTTTTTTGTCCACTCGAGGGCATTGAGTTGCTGTGCTCACATGACTCAACAAACTCCGAAGTTTCCCAACTGGGTTGTTGTGAAGAGCAGTAAAGCAACTTTTGCTTTACTATGCTACCAACATCATTTTGCTATTCCTTGTCCACCGATTGTTTGCTTTCCGTTCTCCCAAGGCCTGCGGCCTTCAAGCGCACGCGCGGCCTCTTGGACCTCCCTGACGGAGGATGGGAAGGGATGCGCATTGGGAGGGCAAACGACCGGACCTGTCGATGGCCTCCAACCTAATAGCAGTGGCCTCCAACCTACTAGCGATGGCCTCCAACCTACTAGCGAGGGCCTCTAATCTGAGGGTCTTTCCTATGTTGTCCTTATGTTGTCCTTTGTGCAAAAAGAATCTTGTCAAAAATAAAACAGGTCGATTTGGGAAGGAGACTGGTCAAAGTGGGGAAAATGTTTTGTTCTACTCCATCTATCAAATCTGAAGGACAATTTTTCACTTCACGGGTAGCGTTTATTTACACGAAACTCGACCATGCGGAAATTCTGGAGATTCTGAAGCTTGGAACAATCATCGCGATGGCAGGCACTGAGAAGATGGGCTCCCCCGACATTTGCCGCTTGGACGTGTCGTGGTGTCTCCGAAACGGCTTGGTGTTCGACACATAGTAACAAGAAGCTACTAGTAACAAAGGGCATCGCTACTGGTGGCAAGAAGCTACTAGTAGCTCCTGGCACTACTACTAGGAACAAGAAGCTATTCAGTGCTCTGAACACTCTTTCCCCTTCCAACCATAGCGCTAGCCTTCAGTGGCTGAAGTCCCCAACACGTTGGTTAGCCAACCACTGCCTTGACTATGGAATTCGTTCATACTCTCAAGCCGGTTGGACCACTTTTGGTCTAACATATTCTGAAATCAGTTTTAGTCACTCAAAAGCGGCATAGGTATCAAAAAAAAAAATAAAAATAGCATCAAAAAAAACCAGGATCAAAAAAATTAAAAAACGAATCAAAAAAACATATTCCTTGATAGGCCTCTTCTGCTGCTCTCCTGGCCTTGTGGTCTGCGGGTCCTCTGGTAATGTGGTCCCTTGGTCCCTTGGTCCTCTGGTCCACTGGTCCTTTGGTCCCCTGGTCCCTTGGTCCTTTAGTCCACTGGTCCCCTAGTCCTCCGGTCTCCTAGTCCTCTGGTCCTGTGGTCCGCTGGTCCCCTGGTATCCTAGTCCTTCTGTCTCCTGGTCCGCTGGTCTTTTGCTCTCCTACGGCGCTCGTCTGTCGATCTCCTGGTCCCCTGCTTGCGCAAATAGAGGCTTGATCGAAAAATGGTTCACCAGTGGAAATAGCTCCCTACTAGGAGGGAGCTCCTGGGGAGGTACACTCTCCTCTACTACCCCAACCATCCTCAGTGGGCTAGAATATTTTTTTTTGATTACCTTTTTATTTTTTTTATTGATCCCCGTTGAATATGTTTTTTTGGATTCTATTTTTATTTTTATTTTGATCCCTTACCCCTCAAAAGCCTCCTGCCTTGAGAAAAGAAAGGCGACCAGAAGCTTTACAGATCAGGCCGATCGGGGCCGCCACGTGGGCGGGAGTCGGACGCAAAGACATCCTTACCACAGGGGACCAGTGGCGAGTAAGTTTAGAACCTGGGCTAGCAGATTTGGAAGATAGGCGACTGGACCCTCTTGGGGTTCTCGCTCAAGATTGAACACGCTGATTGTTCACAGCCCGCTTAGCAAGTGTTATCACAGAGGATTGTTCCATATGGTTTCATGGTTTCCAACTTGGCTGTGGCCGAAGCTGCCAGGTTACCCTTGTCAAGGACACAGGCAGGACTGCACAGTAGTTTTCATTCAATAGTTCTCCAGATTTGAGGATGCAGCTGTACAGCTTGCCTGGTCGACTCGCACGTTTTATAATGTTCAAAAGTTAAAGAGTGTGGTGGCCAGTTCCTTTTTTCCGGGTGGGCAGTTGCCCTTTCTTTATGCGCAGCCTCAACAACTTGCAAGATAAGGACTGTGTTCGCAGTGTTTCAATCTTGGAAGACACCTGACTGCCTCTTCAAACGGAGTTGTTGATGCTTGTTGACTCCTTTTGATTGCAAAGCTAGCATTATGCATTTGTGAGTTGAGTTCGAACGGATTTCATGCCTCCATCGCAGATGGTGATGGTGCACCGTCTGCAGATGATGCAACGCCTACACCATTCAGGTGCTGTGAAAAGCAATGCTCACAGAATTGACTATGAGAGCTGCGTTGCACCCATCATGATTCCCTGAACTTAGAAAAACTTCTAGAACACTTGGCCGCTTGGCCATGTGGTTGTCACGCTTCAACAAGCCTGGGTGTGGTTGGAGGCATCGCTATTAGGTTGGCGGCCACCGCTAGTAGGTTGGAGGCCATCGCTAGTAGGGTGGAGGCCATCGCAATTAGAAACAAAGAAAAGGAAACGGAAGAAATGTCTAATCCGTATAATATAGTTTGCAATTAGGTTGGAGGCCGTTGCTCTTTTGCTTGGCAAGGCCGCATCCGATGAGTTTGAGGTCGAGCTCTTAGACGCACAGCAGAACCTAAAGGACAAAAGTTCAAGTAGACAGACGTAGACCCCGACATAGACCACAAATAGAAAAAGAGCTTTGATGTTCACCCCCAACAAAAAAGAATTAGGGTGGAGGCCATCGCTAGTAGGTTAGAGGCCATTATATACTACTAGTAGCCAGAAGTTATTAGGGTACTTCAAAGAGTATTTGAGATCCAGAAATCTTCTTCCCTACGGTTTGTCGCGGCCCCAACGACCTGAGGTTTGCCTACACCACGAAGCCCTTCTTCCCCATATACGCGCGCCTGTCACGCGTTCGCGTTGGACGGTCCCGGTTTGGGACGCGGCTGGGGGAAGATGCGGCTGACCCAACGATCCAAACCGCGTCGTGGTTGAGGTTGAGGGTTTCCAGCACTTCCCAGGTGTGAATTCACGGAGTTCTCTTTTCACAACTTTCCGAGACCCTTTACGGACAGTGTTTGTCCGCAGAAATTGGAAGGAGCTTGGGTGAGACTCTTGTTGCTTCATGTGGAAACACACGTTCAATCTCACATGGACAAGACAAAAGGAGGTTTGTCGAAACTGGTTTGGCTATTTATATATTCGTTTATTCCCTTCTGTTGTCATTGATATGTTGAGTTTATCATTGTTGTTGTCGTTGCAGAGCCGACACAAGGAGCTGGCATTCTTCTTGACCTGCTTTTGAAACCTAGGCTTTACCCGAGATTCCAACCACCCCAAGTAGTCAGTGTTTCTGTTATGGGGATAGCTGACAAGACTCTGGTGGTAAAGAAGATTCTTGTCCACCATGGATCCTGTGAGATTCAGTAGCTGAAGGCCAGTCACAACTAGGCTGTATATAGACCCCCAAATACTAGATAGAAACGTAGATCCCCACTAAAAATGTTTTGGACACTGTGCCACTGTCTATATTTGGGGATCACTGCACTATAAGTCCAGCTTAGCCGCTAAGTCCTGCACAGTCCGACCTCTCCAAAGGGTCCGCTCCACGGTCCGTCCGATCCGATCCGCAGACCAGAAATCTGCGAGATTTGTGGAAGAGGAAGAAAGGCAAGAAGTTGGGCAAAGGTATGTGGGGCACCCAGTGCATCGCACGCAGCCTATGTGTAGCACTTTTTTTTGGTACACTTTCTCCACTGAAGTGAGAAGAATCGACGAATCGACAAGACGGTACATCCCACTTATGACCACATGATTTGTGAATGGCTTTTCGTTGATCGAATGTGATGTTGTTTGGGCAATGCCAGCGTTTGTTGGGTGTCAATGTGCCTCACTCAGCTTTTTTCATTGCTTTGCGGTCTGAGATCTGAGGCAGGGCGATCGTGGTCTTTACTGGCGATCGAAGCGGCAGAAGGGCAAGCAGGCCACCAGGGAGGTCCTGACATGCTGGGCCAAGCTGCACCCTTCCTTGCAGCTTTCTGTGCAACAAAAAACCGATGATTCTCGAGCCAACGGGCGAGTAAACGGTAGAGTGACTCAGGCTGCTCTAGGGAAAAAGTGACTCTGCTGCTGGGCTCAGTTATGTATATATATATATAATATATATATAGTGCATAGGCATAGCTTTACCCTGTGGCTGCTACCTTAAGAATTCATTGTGTAGTAAGACCAGAATGTACAAAGGCCCATATATATATATATATGTATATTTGAATCGAGATGTCTGTTGACCTCAGACCTCCGAGTTCCTCCCAGTTCCTCCCAGTTCCTCTCCTTCTAGCACTTCAGTCTTTACTTATCAAGAACTGAGGGGTGAAGAACAGAAATGGTCAGGAATGGTGGACCGAGTTTGGGATTGGTTCTCTCGACTTGATTAGGCGCGCACCTGGGAGCGAGGGAACTTCCCACTCTTCAAGCGCCTTCCCAGATGGCCAGAGGCGCAACAAGCTGCGAGGGCGCTGTGAGAGAAGTTTACGTCACAGAACATACCTCATGAAGCCCAAAAGACTCTGAGATAGCTCAATGCCTTGCCACACATCTAATTGTTTGTTGACTCAACATCGTGCCCAACTCCAAGAGCCTTGTGGCCAGGCCCACATGCGCGGAAAGAGGGACTACCTTGATCCACTCAACTTGTCCAAGCTGCAGACACCTCAGTGGCTATGTAAGCATGAGGTAGTTGGAATATATAGCTGGGTAATGAATGAAGAGACACATAAATTTGGAGCCACAAGGTTCTGATGCTTCTGAAGAAAGTTTGGATTGCTCTGGCCCTAAGAATGTCGTCCAGAGATCTATCGGTGAACCACTGTGATTTTAGTTTCCCCAAAAATCTAGGAACCACATGAATAGTGCGAGCGTGAGCTATCCTGCGTCCATATGTAGGACTTGTAGCGTCCACTTGTAGGTACTAACTACCTAGCTACTACAAGCTACCTACCTTGCTACTACCTCTTCGCAGCCTCCCCCCCCCAAAAATCAAACAAAAACAACAAAGGCCGGCAACACCTGAATGTTTGTTCCAAGGCGCTACTTCATCCAGAAGGGTCGCCTGGACCGTGGATCGAAACAGATGCAGAGCTGTGACTGGCGTTTGTGGCCTGCCTTGCCCCAACAAAACCCATGCGAGGAAGGGCTGCTCGTTGGAGCAAGAACAAGTTGGCTGGTAATACAGGAAGATTCTTTCGTGCGTTTCGCCACATTCGCATGATGTGCAATCAATAGGTCGGGTCGCTCTCCAACTATCACATCCGTGGAAGAACCCTTGTGTAAACTGGTGTCGGAACTTCTGGACTTCTGCATTTGCAGTGAGAGTTATGAGGTGACGAGATACATTTCAGGGCAAGAGATCCGGCACAACACAGTCTGGTGAGCGATCAGCAGGCTAGGAGCAAGAAGCTACTACTCGTAGTAGCTCCTGGCCATACTACTAGGAACAAGAAGCTACTAGTAACAAGGCGCATCGCTACTAGTAGCAAGAAGCTACTAGTAGCAAAGGGCACCGCTACTAGGAGCAAGAATCTACTAGTAGCTCCTTTGGAGAGAATTGTGATGGCCATGTTCCAGTCTTCGTTTCCCGACTGCAGGACACCCGCTTTCCCATCACGCAACGCCACCTGCAGGAATCCAGGAGACAACCGGGACACATGTGAGGAAACGGGCAAAGCAGGAGCAGTTTGCTGTTACAGGACCCTCGTGAGTTACCATGTCCAAGTTGGCTGTTTGTTGAGCAGCAGGTCTGTCAGATGTTGCCGCCGGAGTCGCGGGATTACCATGCAAAGACATTCAGGTTTTTTCGGACATAAGCTTCCCACATAGTATACATGTTACATAGATGACGTAGATATACATAGCGTAGCGAAGGTCAAACAGGAAAGTCACAGGAGGACACACGAAAGAGTATTAGCATGTCCCCAAATTTGACATCCCAGGCAAGTTTATTTAAGGGCCATGTGCATGTCTAGCTTTTGGTTGCTTATACTTCCTTTCAACTGGTGAAACTGCAGTTCCATCCCGCCGCAACAGGTGTGTGAAGAGAGTCAAGAAAGGTGTGAAGCTGTTCAACGTCGGGAGCCTTTGGCACGAACGGTGATGATTCCATCCTGGCTCCACCATCAGGACCTGGCAATTAACCAACCAATCTGAATCGACAGGTAAATCATAAAGCAGCAAGATCGCACAGAGACACAGCCAACAACTCAATTCTACTTTGTTTTCGACAGCATTTTCATTGCCTGCCAACACTTCTGGCACCTCCCCAATCTTAGGTTTTAAAGAAACAGTGTTTCTTTGGTCGTTGGTTGTTGAGTTTCTCAAACACCCACCCCCTGCATGTCAGGTGAACGATTTTCCCTTCCCTTACAAGATCGACATTGAGGCGGAGGGCAGTGCTGCGTCGTGTAGCAGTTCTCTTTAGCTGCAGCATTTCTACTGGCCTTGGACAATGCAGTTCTGCTGTTTTACAGTGGAAGTGGTCCATGACTGGTCCCAGAGGTAATTCTTGTTATAGACAGTCATTTATCCTTTCTTATCTGGATTTTGTTTCTGCCCAGACTGACAGGTTGCGTCCGCCGACCAAAGCTCAATTGATGCTATCAAAGCAGTCGGTGGAACGGTGACCGTGGTCTACATGGACAGAGGGGGCGAAAGTGTTTCAGAGGGAAATGCGCGTTGATTCAGAATCTATCTATAAATCGCATGCTGCATCCAATCGACATGTGGCAACAACCTTCACACAAAGAGCCACGACAGAAATGACGTTGGAGTCGGAGTTTGTACGAATGTAGAGTTCTGTGGTAAGAATGCCACGGTTGTTTTTGCTCACGACCCCCCTAACGGCCCCGGAGAATTTCCACGTTTTCACCATTACCCAAGGTGATACTACGTTGGGGATGGGGTGGGGATGGGGTGTGCACTTGCAAACCAAGTTGATGCTACGTTGGGAATGGGGATGGGGTGGGGTCTGTTAACATTCGCTTGCACTTGCAAACCAAGTTGAC